GCGTGCACCCGAACCAGGGTTATTGGAGCATTCACGTTCTAGGAAGTAAGTCAGGACACTAGATACGTTGGTGGAGAATGCTGCAGTGAACAGCCTCCCATATTTCAGTGAATGTTTTGACTTATGTTCCTAGACATCCAGTCTAGGGTATTATTTTCTGAGGGGCTGGGCTGCAGTCCCCATGCAGAGAGAGCTCATATTTGATCTGAGAGTTAGACTGAAGGAACTACTCAGTAGTTCCTCTCCTACTAAGTCCTTTTCTGATGTAGTTTATTCACTTCAAACTCTCTAGACAGTCTCTTGAGAGTGGTTCAATTTTATTTCAATGTGCTGGAAATAAGCTGAAATGAACGTACATTGACAATTGCCAATTGTTTTCTGTTTGTTTGTTTGTTTGTTTTTTTGCTAGGAGATGGTATATTTATTACAGTGACTTTTTTTTTTTCTCTTTCTATATCTGTTATGACTGACTTCCATTTCTTTCCTACTCCTAAGTCTCAGTAGGAAGAACGACAATTGGTGGCCTAGGAAATATAAACTCAAATGCCGATGAGTTGTATCCGCACATTGGGATTTGGGGTCTGACTCTGCATCACTGTATCCACGGTCGGTGTGGAGGGGACAGGGCTAATAGGATGGCAAACATCAGTCCTTCCATAGTGATCGACTAAAGAGGAGTTAAATATCTGTCAATATGGCAGGAGTGGAGGGGCATCACTGTATTTGGCCACTGATAGATCTTTGGTCAGATTTTAGGTTAGGAATTACCATTGTGAACAAAATCGAGACAGTGCCCAGCTCAGGGGCTTCAAAAGGTGCTGTGAGAACATGGCAGCAGCTAACCATGGGGAAATCTTCTTTCATATCATGCCCCACCTTGACCATGAACAGATATCAGTGCGACCCTTGGGACTGGACATTTATTAAGTCTTTTGAAGTCTTGTTACCGTGCACTGCAGCAGCTCTGGAAAGCCTTGGTGTGCAACACTTTGTTGCAGAAATATCCAAAGCATCTTCTAATACAATGTGCTTAGTGCCAATAGGGGTTGCATGCTTCAGTGCAGAAGCTTCACAGTTATGAACTGTGGATCTTCAAAGAGATTTTTGACAAGGTTTTTCTCTGGTAGCTGCATTTACTATGGATTGGCTGATACATCAGGAAACTTAAAGTCTGCACATGAAAATATGTTGAAAATTTTTACAGTGTAGTGCAAGGAAGAGGACTGGATATCGCTCTGGGAAGGTCTATATCCATAATTTTTCCATAGTTCTGATTAGTTTGCAAAGGCCAACAAGGTCTGCAGCTTTGGGATTATGAAACCTTTTTCAATTTACTCCTTTGAATTCCTTGCTAGATGTGAATTTGTTGCATAAGTGATCTTATGAAACTCTTGCCGTGGTGAGGCCATCGTTTGGCCAGGGACTGGGGGGAAAATGTCGTGAGAGAAAAAGAGACCAAGTTTGCCAATTCTGCCTGGCAGAGGTCTGATTTGAGTGGAAGTGCGTGGGAAATGCAGGAAGGATTTGCTTGTGCGGCCTCTTCTGTAGGGTTGGGGCTATATGATGAGCTCTAAAGAGGAATGTGTCTGACCCTGGGTGTGGGAACCGTCTAGCCAGGTGGGAGTGGAAGCGCCGAGTCCAGACCTCAGGACCAACTGCCTTCGTGGTAGACTTAGCCCTCATTCCTGATTTCTTCCCCCGAGCCTTAATGAAAATCAAAGTATATTCCCCTCTTGGTGGCCCTTCAGCTGGAAGATGCTGAGACCATGTAGAACCTCGTGTGACACAGCTCCCCCGTTCCTCCCCGTCCCCCTCTGCTATTGTAAAGCACCCGCTATGGTAACTGAATGCTCGTCGTTAACCTCCAACAGACTTTAAATAGACCAGTGACAGCTTCCTTCCTTGTAAATTCTTTGCCCGACCAACTTCTTTTTTTCTCCTTCTAATTTTACAGTTTTTTAATGCAAAAAAAAATATAAAAGCAGTCTGTTAACACCCCCATGTAAAACTAACTCGCATTCTGGCCCAGGATCAGCAATCTCTTCCTTGCTGTGTGGACAGTTTCCTATATTGCCTGTGTACATCAAGCTTTAATGTTTATTTTTTTTTTTCCTGCCTTCTTACTTCATTACAATTTTTTGGGACGGCAAAATTTCTGGATGCGGCAGTAATTTTGTGCCAGTGGTGAACAAAACTCTTCATCCTGTTAAACAGTGGCCCAGGATTACCACCGGCTATTTTGGGAAGTGACTTTTAGGCACTGAAAAAAAAATTAAAAAATAAAAAAATATATTTTTAAGGACTAAAGGACAAATTCAAATGCACAATGCATACTGAGTGGGCTCAGGAAACAGTATAAATGTTGCAAGATGACTACTGCTTTACGAAGTACCAAAGTTATCTCTTTATTAGAGCTCAGCTCCTATAACGAAGAAACAGGTAGAAATAGAGAGACAACTGCCTTTATGTATCAAAAAACCAGCAAAGTGAAAGAGAATACTTTAGATATTTAGTTAGAAAATACTTTCCTTCCTCTCCCTCCTCGAATAGTTGATGTTTTGGCAAAAATAGCACCCAAGATGTTTTGACTGAAATGGAAATATTTCAGTCTGGAGAGAAGTCATTGCGATACCTCCTGGGAACTGCTGTTTGGAAACTTGGTGTCTCCAACCTATTCCCTCTCCAGTACGACTCCCTGCCTGTGCTGTGTCTCCTGCAGAACACCACTGTCCTCTCTTATGGCCGCGGAGGCTGTTGTGTCCTACGGAAAATGCAGTCTGAACGAATTTGGTCCCTGGTGCATGGGGGAAATGTGGGACCTGGACACCATCTGTGCTGGCACTCAGGGTAAAAATATTGGTGTTTCAAGCACATAGCTCCTTTACGGAGAGAAAACATCTATTTGTCGCGAAAAAAAATCAGGTTGTTAAATTTTCTTCTTTTGAGTTTGCCACTGAGACAGGGAAAGTGTTGATTTAGGTGAGAAGTATGTGGGATGGGGATGGCTTCTCAGTGGTTTGTGTGGTGTTTCACACAGTGAGGGTCTGATGGTGGGGGTCCCTGTGAGACGCTGTGAGGATTTACTGCGAGAATTTACTGTAAGAAACCCCCATGCAAATCTAATCCAATGTTACGAAGAGACATCCAAATCTTCCCTCACTGAAGCAGGGGGAAACTGTGAAAGCAGTCTTCTCTACATCCTCCAAAAAAAGCCACAGAGAACATGATGTGGCATCATGCTATGGTATGTCCCTCCACAGGTACACTACCGAAAAAAAAAAAAAGACTCTTATTTCTTGGAGGGTTACATGTTGCTGGAGCTGAGAAAGAAGGAGCTCTTGATCCTATAAAGTCACCAAATCTGCCCTCTAGCAAGAGCTCCTGGGGTGGAAATGCAGGATGTCCACAAGCAAAGAGGTCCTCTGAAGCCCACCACGTATCCTGGCTTCCTTTGCTGTCTTGCATATCGGAGGAATAAGTCTCAGCTTCCTCCCTTTTGTTCCCCGTGCGCAGCCTGGACTTGAGTTCTGAGAAAAAAGCTGCCTGGTCAGCCAGCCCAAGTGGGTGGAAAGCCATGATCCTGCAGGGAGGAGCTGCTGAGCTTCCAGGGGAAGAAACCCCACCTTTGGAATAGGCTGTCCTTGGCAAGCCACCAGTGCCCGGGGTTTGGAAAGCTTTTGTGGCAAAATGAGAGACACATTTATTTGGTTTTGAGCTCCTGGGTGAATTTCCCCTCCATTACAGCTCAGTTGCTGATGTTTCTGGCAGCCACCACAGTAGTGGTTTGGATGAAAGCTCCCTGCTGTGAGTAGGTTTATATAATTGGTATTGTTAAATTTTGTAAATAAGTTCTGAGTTGCTGCAGTGATAGGTCCTCTCTAAGGACTGTTGTTGGAAATTCAGGGCTCCTCCTCCCCATGTTACTGGCCAGGTGAGCCTGTTGACGGGATTTAAGGATCGGTCTTTGCTGCAGCATGATGATTTGGGGCAGGATTCTCAAAGCCAGTTTGGTCCAATGGTTATAGCTTCAAAGAAGAAAGCTTGTGTTGAAATTTGGTTTATGGTTGCTCTGTGCCTGGTGATACTGTGCAAGGTGATGCTCTATTACTGGGTCTTTATGCAAGTCCTTGGGTTCAAGGGATATCTACCTTTCTTGGAGGTTGCCTGGGAGGAAGCTTGCACCTTGCCTGAAGCCTTCAAGACCCCCTACTCCGCTTCAATTCTCCTTCCTGCTAAGCGAGAAGTATCTTGTCCAGCCATGTTGAGGATGTGCCTGGAGAAATGTCTCCAAGGGACATTGTAGGGTCTTGTAGGAGAGGGGATTTCCAGACAGTGTTGGCAAAGCATCCTTGATTCAAACCAGATTTCAGAGCAAAGGAACCAACTGGACTTTCCATGAGAGCTCACTCTCCTAGCCTGGCTCTGGTGTGCATCAGGTTTTGGTGATTTATTTATTTCTCTTCTTCTGAGTGCTCTGGAGTGGAGCTTGTTCTCTGGTCCCGGGAATCACCCATGGAGGACAACCAGGCTGGCATACCCTGGGGAAAAGGAATGGAAACAACTACCATAACGGGGAAAAAGTAGACTTAAATATTTGATCCATCTCCAAATCAACTTGGCAAAAATGAGGTTTTTATTTACATGCACATCCATGTGTACAATATAAATAGTTCATAATTTAGAAATGCTACCATGCTATGTAAATATAAATTTTGTGTATTTCATTATAACTGCATATATCTATTTTATGTATGGGTGTAAAATAGCAGCTGTGGTGGAATCTAAAAGGAAGGGCGCTAAAATGAAAGTGAAATAGGAGAGTGCTGCATGGATCAAGTGTGACGGGGCTGCAGTCTCCTGGGAGGGATGTCTGTATTTCCCTGAAAGCCTAAACACACACCATGACACTAATGCACTGCCTTCATTTATTAATCCACTGCTCTATTTATTAATTGATTGCTTTTCTGCCTTTTTTTTTTTTATTATTTCTTTGCTTTTAGTAAAGAGTACCCGGTTGTTCCCAGGAGCACAGTGAGACAAAAAGTGTCCTCGAATCACAGCCCCTTCAGTGGCGAGACCAGGGTCCTTTCTGCCTCTTCCAACCTGGGCTCCCAGTACCAGTGCGAGAATGGGGTGTCGAGCACCTCCCAGGACCTGCTACCGCCTGCCAACCCCTACCCGATCTCCCAGGAGCACAGCCAGATCTACCACTGCACCAAGAGAAAAGGTCAGACCTTGGCTGCTCCCCGCTCGGTGCTTTCCCTTTCCTACCATGACTGCGAGCATAGTTTTCTGATGGTTCCCCTTGCCCACAGGCTGGACAGTCCCAGTCTGCTTTTAAGGTGATGCTTGAGGATGAGCGAGGGGTGAGGGTTGGGTGCTGGAGGTGGACATCTCACCAGGGCTCTCCTCACCTTTGCTGCTGTGCCAGGAGCAAGCTGCTTGGAGGGGTGGTAGTGCCTTTTCCCCACGCTGAATCCACATTCAGTAAGATAGCTGGTGCCAGAGATAAAGATGACTTATCTGTCTCCATAGCCCCTCAGACAGGGTTAATCTCCAAGCAGGAGATACCTTGACAGCTTGGATTTTGCAGGGTTTTTCAACTAAGAGCCTCACAGTTGGGAGACAGTTGTCTGTCTGCAGAAAGCAATTCCACTTAAACGCTCAGTCTAATGAAGGGGGCATGGGATTGAAAATCATGATATCCATGTTCGTTCCCCTCTGGTGCGACTGACCTGCTTTGACAGAGCTCGAGGGATCAAACTGTGAGGGCTTTACACTCACTGCACAGCTCGTCCTGGCGTGAAGAGCCCCATCACATCAACGGGTTAATTGTTCCCGGGCAGGAGCGAGCCGTTTGCAGTCTCTCCCTTCCTCTCCCAAAGCAATGGGAATGCTTAGATGTAGAAACACTTGCAGGACTGAGACAGCAAAAGCCTCAGATCTGTTTCATCCCAGAAGAAAATAGGGAACTTTCAGGGTTGATTGCAACTCCAAGGGATGGGCAGGAGATGGTTGCTGCCTATCCTTGTTCTGTTTTCTCGGGATTTAGTCTACATGGTGTGTGAAAACCTAACAGGAGTCAGCATGCGCTGTGGCATTTGAACACACCAAGAGTTTTTCCAGCCTTGTAGCCTCTCCCTACAGCAGATCCTTTCCTGCTTCCCTGTATGCTTCTATCAGTCAGCCACATGTCATTATTTTTAGTAACGTAACCCCTGGGGCGCTGGGATGTGCAGTGTAGACACACAGTCGAAGGTAGCGGATGCTGGGAAGTGTTGGTAGATGAGGCAGGAGGGTAGGGGAAATCTCTCTTCCTTCCTTGGTGAATCCCCTAAATGCTCTGGCAGCACATGGGTTGTCTGCAAGTATATATGCAAAATAAACAAACAAAAAAAGTTGAGAAATCTTAATATTTGCCCGAGACTGAGCTAAACAGCGGAAACCAGAGGCATTGTTTTTTGACTCCACCAAGCTGGCCCTGGTGTCTCAAGGTTGTGGTTGGAAATGGTGATGGTAGACTTGAGCTTAGATCTAAGGTAGGGAATAAGGGATTGCAGAGGCTTTCCAGATTGTCCCCTAAGGTCAGAAGTGGGGTGTGTGGCCCTTGCTACCCCCGTGCTAGTGTGAGGCTTTGGGACACAACTGGGTTGGTGCGAAGCCCCACTGTTGGCGATGGAAAGGCAGGTCCCGAGGATGGGCAAACCCTTGCCATCCCTCAGCCTGCCATCCATCCCCGGGGCTCCTTTGCCCTGGAGGGTGAGCTTTCACCGTTCATCTTCCCCTCTTGTAAAAGCTACCCAAAACAAACTGGTCCAAAGGGCCACAAAGCCTTCGGATGGTGTTGGGTGGCTGCGTGTCCCCGCTCCGCAGGGCAATTCATCATTCGCCTCCACATTGTAAGGCGATAAGGAATCAGCAGAGGTTTCCTTCCAGTTTTGGGATTCCCGCTAAGTGGTGTCTCCATGGGTGGTTTCCCTCAATCCCCCAATTATCTCACTTCCTCTTATTGTCACAAAAGAGACGACTATCTGCCCTGTAATAAGCTCCCCGGCCCCTTTTGGCCTGCTTGGCCCTCGGAGACTGGCAAAGCGAGTCCTTGTCTCTAGGGCTGATGGCCCCTCATTATCTCTACGATGGCTTGAGTGGCACAAGCAGTTAAGGGCCTTTTATCAAAGCCGCCAAACGCTTTAATCAAAGAGAAGCGGTGTCCTGTCCGATACCACTGGCTTCTTCTGCGAAGCCATACGGCTCGGGAGCCTGAGCCCCTGCTTTCCTCCCTGTGCCTTTCTCCCCCTCGCAGCGCATCCAGTAAATCGAAAACAGCCACCAGGGCTTAAAGAAAAGAAACACAAAGTTAATGGGAAACAGAGAGCCAACATAAGCTGCCAAGCAGCTCTTTGCAAAGTGAAATTCATTTAAAAAGGAGGAAAAAAAAGAAGTCACCAGAGATGAGCAATTCTGTTCAGATACATCGGAACGTAATCCAAGGCTTCATCTCAAACTCAGATTGAGTGTGGCACTTTCTTCTAGCAAGGATCTTTATTGAACTTACGAAAATAACCTTACCTGCTATTTCTCTTTTTCTCCCTTTTCCAGCCTCTCCAAGTGTAATATTAAACTTTTCCTCACTGCTCTCCTGCTTTCTTAATATTCCGCGTAACTTTGAACAAGCCTCACCATCTAGAGAAAACATGAAAGCAAGAGTGTGTTCGCTGCTGATGTACCTCTGTCCATTTTCTGGACTGGAAGCTTTACTGGCTTCCTTGGATCATCAACTCCCCAAACATTGACTCCTTTTCAGTTGGTTTAGGATTTATCTCAGGCGAGTTATTTCCTTTTTTTGCAAGGCTGCGGTTACGGATAAGTGCTTGCAGGGCCAGAGGGGGTTTGAGACCAGCTGGTGTCTGTATCTCCTGTAGCAAATACCACGACTGTTTCCCAAGACAGTCTCTCAGATATGGCTCCTTCCCGCTTTGACATCTCGTGGTGTTTCTCTGTATCCTTTTTAGTCAGGAGGTCAAGCCTTGGTTTAGGCTCAGTTAAGAATAGGTCTGTGTTTGAGCAACTCATGGGCCCCTTTTTCAACTTCTACTTCCTTGGTGACTGAAGACAAAGATTTAGCTCTGCGGTTGACAGTGTTGTTCTTTGCTGTCAAGCCAAGATGGATTCAGTCTGGAGATCTGATATGGAGTTACTTTAGGGGAGAGCAGCAGGGCTGAGAGAGAATGTTATCTCTGAAGGCTCCTCCGCTTCAGGGAGGTGATGCTCTTCTGGGAGAGGAAGGAAAAACACATCCCAGAACGCCAAATCTAGCAGTTCCTGGTGCGCAGGTGAGAGTGCAGGGTGACAGCATTGCCAAAGGCCCCAGCATGATGCAATGTGATCGCTGCTCCGGGTACCTTCTGAACACGCTGAACATCGGGGAACGGCAGTCCGCAAGGCGAGAATCATCCTGTGATGTGTCCCAGCTCCACAGTGAGATTTTACGGCATTTCACAAAGACACTGGTCTTGAGAGAATGGATTAACTCCAATCCTGTATCCCACTGAGGAACGGCCTCAGTTGTTGATGTGGATTTTCAGATTGCAACAAAGACCAATTAGAGCTTTGCCTTTATTCGAGTTGTTCTCCACCTCTCCTTCTCTCATTGTGCTTGGAGAAGCCCAAAACGATGTACCAGCAGGCAGCTTGCTTTCTGTCTTTCATTTTAGCCCCATGTCCCAATTAGGGCATTGGGGCTTGTTTTCCCTTGTGTTATCCTCTCCCTCAGACTTCCTGTGAAGTAAAAAGCCATCCAGAGAAACCTCTGCTCCCTCCCAGCCTTACACAATCTCAACCACTTGGCAGATTTCTGGGATGCTTGTGATGCTGAACAGGAGGCAACTGGAACAGCCTCTCCCTGGGGAGGTTATAAAAGTTGTCACGTTGGCATTTTGAGGGAGAAGAGGGACGTGGCAGAATCCACCAGCTCCAACCAGCAAGGACTGCATCCTTCAGCCACCTAGCTTGGACATGACCTTGACTGTGGGGAAGAAAATATTTCTTTCCTGCTAGGAGGAGATTGGTGGATATACAGCGATGCCTTTCCCATTTCTCCTCAACACCAGGCACTGCTATGGTAGATATACCTCTGTGGACTGAACCGATTTCTCCCTCACCCCACGCAGCTTTTCTTTCACTCAGGGAATCAATAGGACAAAAAGCATACAGGGAAAGCCTTCTTGGAGGACATGCTCCTCTGCCTGCTGATGTCAGGAGACGCAACAAGTTGGTCAAGGCTTGAGCAATGTGGCACCCTGAGGTGACTGCAGCTTGGGTAGATGCAGTGGAGCCCAGAGCAAGGTGGCTACTGGGGCACTGAGGGTGAAGAAGAGCCTGCCTGCATGGCGGGGAGATATTCAGGGGCTGGTATTTCTGTTGTGTTCCCCTGCAAGGCAGCACAGCCATACTGCAAACCGTGCGATTGCTGAGGTATCTAGTGTGTCTTAGTTTCCATGTCCTTGGAGGTACACCTTCCTTGCCCTTTAGGGGCGTTAATCTTCATTGAATCTGCCTTTTTCTTTTCTTCTTTGACGATCCTCTTCAGTCTTGCACCCTGACACTGGCTCTTCAGGCTCATGCTAGATTCATACTAGAAATAAGACTGGATAAAGCAACAGCATTAGTGTTAATCACCCATTGTGTCTCTCTCACAAAGTCAGGATGAACCTACTGTAATGCCCTGAAAGTGCGGGTGAGCTTTGAAAATTAAAATAGTTGGGTCCCATTCTTCATTGTCTTCTGTCCCAGGGAGCTGATTGTCAAGAATTCGAAAGGAGTTCCGCTGATTTACACCAGGGGAAGAGGTGGACCCAGTGCCCCCTGAAGTCCAGAGGTTTTACATGTTTGCATTTCATTCTGGACTGCCCTAATCTTGGAGTTGGGAAAATTCCATTTAAAAAGCCATTTGTGTGGTATTTACAACCCAGCTGGAAGTAGTAAATACCGGAAATCTTGGAACTGCTTATGCTCTCGCTCAAGCTCCTTCATTTAGATAGATCATCAAATTCCTTGTGAGGGAGCCAGTTTCCACCCCATTCTGCAGGCTCCGTTTTCCTTGGATCCACTTCGGAGCAACTTCTCCCAAGCACTGGCAGATTCCCCTGCTTGGCAGAACTTCTTGCTTTTTGAGGTTTGCGAAGTATCGAGGGGCCAGTCACAAGAGCTGATCACCACCCTTGGCTTCCAAGGATAGCAACAGAAGTGAAGGATGGTAGTCAGCATCTCCCAGAGGTGCCCAGCACCTCCTGGGGCTCAGCAGCAACAGTGGAATGCTACTGGAGAACGAACATGAAGAATCAAACCCAGAGCAGACCAGACAGTTAACTCTTGTTTATGCTGATTCTGAGATGAGAGGACCTTCAGGGAGAGAATTATGGCCTTGAGACAGATGGTCCAGGGTCCAAAGCAGGTGGAGGTGGATTCGTAATGCAACCTTCACCATTGTGTGAAAGCCCTATTTGACTTGTTCTTCTTTTGCCATTCTCTGACTTAAGATATCCTCTTTCCACCCCCAGATTGGCTCCACACACCATGGGGACATGCTTCACCTTCTCTGTCCTCTGGTCTCCTCTGAGGAGTGGTGGGGCGATGCTATATCAGGCTGGAGAACCTGGACCAGTGTAAATTCATCAGCTGGCACCAGCTGAGGTTCTCTGCTCTGCATCACTCCATCTGATCATGAAAATGGACTGTTCTCTTCCCTCTCAAGCACCTTGAGGTTACATAGATGGGAAAATCATCAGGGAGAGGGGCCAAAGGACAGGCAGAAGCTGTTAGGGTGGGTTGTAACCCTTCCTTAGCAATTATGTCCTCTTTGGAGGTGGGTATGGGGTCTTTACACATCTTAAAATCTGGAGTGATGGTGCCCTTCCCACACATGACATCGGTGAGCTCGGCTCTAGAGAGGCGAGTGGAACGATCACAAGGGCTTACAGGAGAAGAGAGGGCACCTATAGAGTTTTCAGTGAAATACTGATTGTTTTTGTTTTTCCTCTCCTCACCTGTAATAAATTCTGGAAGCGAATCCTTAATGCTGTGGCTCTGCCTGGCTGGGCTGTGGCAGGCAGCAGAACGTCTGGGCTAAGTGGAAAAATCAGCAACCTCAGGTTGTAAGTCAGGCACATTTTTACACAACAGAAAAACAGAGTTTGACTGTTTTGTGTTGTATATTTAAAAAACCAAAAATTAAAATAAACAGTCAAACCCCAAGCCAATGATTTCTAACGCCAGCAGAGTAATGCGGTTTAATGCTGAAAACTTTATTAGCAGAACAATGCTTCATTTTACAAGACATTGTTTTTCCACCCTAGTGTTCTTATTACTCAGTGGTGGGTTAGGGATCCACAACTTTTAGGCTGTCTGTAAAAGCAAGAGCTCAGGCTCTCCTTCCTGATGATAGATGCATGTTCAGGAGGGAGCTTAGGCCTCTGCTTCCAGCTTTTGTCTTCCAGGAGGGCTACATCCTCTCCATCGCCCCTACATGAAACAAACCTTGATCAGGATTGAGGAGAGTGATACACTTTTGCATCTATCCACTTAGTGGTTTTGCTATTTAACGATGTGACTGCCTTGATCGCTTATCCCACCCCACTCTCTGTCTCAATTTAAGGGAAGGCAGAGGAGGAAGGTAGGTTTGCTGGGACTGAGGAGCTGGGTTTTAGGAAGAATGCATGGGACTGTGGCTTTCCAGCTGAATTTATCGGCAGCTGCTATTACAAAGCCAAAGGACACTGAGGGGGAAGTCCCCACGGTGTGTGTACCTCTGTACCTGGTGGTTTTTTTGCGGGGTTGCCAGGCCAAGAAGATTAACAGCAGCAGTTGTTCCAGCTGGACTTGGTAGACACCTGAGTGGGAGTAATGTGTTTGGCGCTTTTTAGTATTGTGAGGTGTTTTTTTTTTTTTTTTTTTTAATAAGCAGAGTGGGTACAGCTCCCAGGAGAAAATGCATGGCTGTTTATAGCAATAAGGGTATGTCTACAAGAAGTAAAAGGTGCTCGCACCGCCCGGCTGCACCTCCTGAAGGAGAGACATAGGTGCTCACCCTGCAGCAGCAACATCTGTGGTTTTGCAAGTGCTTCTTGGAGGGCAGAAGATTTTAGCCCTCTTTTATTTTTTCTTGTTTCTTTTTCTTTTCTTTATATTTTAGGGATGAAAAAAAATCGCAGCTCAAAACACGTTGGTTGAGAGAATTGGCAAAGGGCCATTTCTTGTGGTTTTCTTTCAGATTTTGCCCCTGATGAAAGGATGCAGCCAAGAGGGCTTTAAGCAAAGTGGCATGTTTTTCTCTCTGCACCAGAGATCTTGTTCTTGCAACAACAGCAAAGTTAATCCGGGTCAGAACAAGCTCTCCTTCCCTTGCCTCGCTGTCCTTAAAATCTCTTGGTGAAGTGCTTGTCCCTGGGAACTTTGCCATCCATTCCAGCAGAGCTGGATTTCATTTGATGACCCTGCGAATGAATAAATAAGTGCATATTCATTTATTCATTTTGCTTCCCCCTAGAGATTTCACCTAAATTGTTTATCTCCTTCGCTTTCTTGGCTGGGGATGCTGCAGGAAACAAAGCGCTCTGCAAGCTGTGCCTTGTCTCTAGCTGTGAAATTTACTTTTCTTTTTTGTTACACTTGGCTCCAGCCCACAGTCCTGCGTGGATTTATGTACCCAGCTCTCTTGGCACAGCTCAAGACTGGGGCTGTAAAACTCTGAATATGTTGTCTCAACTGTGCCATCGCTGATGCTCTCCTGGGAGGGGGGGAATTTTTTTTTATTGTGATCTCCATTTTTGTCTCATTTATCGTGAAAATGCATTATTGTAAAGGCTTTTAGCTAACAGCATCAGCTCTGAGGCTCTCTGCTGGGAGTAGGGGGACACTCTTAGGTGGGTTGTATCTGCAGGCAGATGTTGATTTCTGCTCAAAGTTCTGGCAGCAGAGAGGAGACGAGGAGCTTGGTGGTGTGGGATATCACCAAGCAAGATAAGCCTCAGGATCCCTCCAGCATCTTACATTTTCCTCCTAGAGCTTCTAGCTAATCCCTCCCCATGGCACACAGGGCCAAGTGCAAGATCTGGTTTCAGCAGGCTTGATTCAGGTTGATTCCAAGGAAAGGGTCTGGATTTAGGCTGAGAAATGTGTGCAGACTGTGTCCTGCATGTAAAATGAGGGTTGTGAGGCGGGAGCAGAGGCACAGGGATGATGGAGGGAGTGGAACATCTCCCTGGTGAGGAAAGGCTGAAGGAGCTGGGGCTCTGCAGCTTGGAGAAGAGGAGGCTGAGGGGTGACCTCATAAATGTTTATAAATACGTCAAGGGGAAGTGTCAGGAGGACGGAGCCAGGCTCTTTTCAGTGACGTCCAGTGACAGGACAAGGGGCAATGGGTACAAGCTGGAACATAGGAGGTTCCACAAAAATATTAGAAAAAACTTCTTCCCTGTGAGGGTGCCGGAGCCCTGGCCCAGGCTGCCCAGGGAGGGTGTGGAGTCTCCTTCTCTGGAGACATTCAAACCCCGCCTGGACGCGTTCCTGTGTGACTGCTCTGGGTGATCCTGCTCTGGCAGGGGGTTGGACTGGATGGTCTCTAGAGGTCCCTTCCAACCCCCGACATTCTGTGATTCTGTGATACTGTGTGAGGTTCAGCTGAGGGCACAGTACAGTTGTTTGCTACCAGGAGTTTTCTCTCCCAACAGATGAGGAATGTTCCACCACCGAGCATCCTTACAAGAAGCCCTACATGGAAACCTCTCCAGCAGAAGAGGACCCTTTCTACAGGTCCAGTTATCCCCAGCAGCAGGGACTGAACACCTCATACAGGACTGAATCAGCCCAGCGCCAAGCATGTATGTATGCCAGCTCCGCTCCCCCCACGGACCCCGTGCCCAGCCTGGAAGACATCAGCTGTAACACGTGGCCGAGCGTGCCGTCCTACAGCAGTTGCACAGTGTCTGCCATGCAGACAGGTTACCCTACCAACATTTCTCTGCCCACTTCACCTCGGGGCCGCTCATGCCCCGGCTCAGCAGTGTGGCCAACCATACCTCCCCTCAACTAGGCGATACCCATAGCATGTTCCAGCACCAAACTTCGGTTTCTCACCAACCCATCGTCCGGCAGTGTGGACCTCAAACGGGCATCCAGTCCCCCCCTAGCAGCTTACAGCCCGCAGAGTTCCTCTATTCCCACGGCGTGCCTCGAACCCTTTCACCCCACCAGTACCACTCGGTCCACGGCGTGGGTATGGTACCAGAGTGGAGCGAGAACAGCTAACGAGGCGGTTGAGAAAGTGCAAGAGCGTTAGCCATGGGGGGGAAAAACCCAACCAACCAACCAAAAAACAAGGGAGAAGGAAAAGGAGAAGAAAAACCCCAGCGACCCGTTGCTGATAAAAGCATTTTGCAAGACTCCTTTAACTGAATGTTCACCAATAGCACTCGGGAGGGACGGACGCTGATTGAAACCACAGACAAAATAGATGTCGGCCTCGGTGTGACTTGCCCTCTCCCCTCTTTATTATATATATTTTTTGTTTGTTTTCTTTGGTTCCAAAAGAAAAAAAATCAACAGATCGGCAC